AATATGTAAACATATTAAAAACAATCTATGAAGAAACACTCGTGTCACGGACTTTGCAAACAATTATTGACCTTATGTCCACTTATGTATGTAATATTGGCAAATAACATTAGATACAAATTTTTACTCAATAAACTGTTATATTCTATAAAAAAAATTTAAAAAACTAAGTTCAAGTATGCAACTAATAATAATATATCAGTGCCTATCAGTTGAATGTTATGTTGACCACAAAAGGCAGGGATATGAGTGTCCTATAAAAGCTGCTCGGCTAGTCTTCACCGATCATAGCACGAACGGTTTGTTAACGCGAACTATAACAAGTATAACATTAGCAGAAACATCAATCAAAACATCATCAAAATGAACAGAAAACTGATCTTGTGTTTTGCGGCAGTCATCGTTGGACAGGTTAGAATTTAACCATAATATTGTTAAGGATTTAAAATAATTACGAAATTAACGGATTTAAGCAATCGATCTTTTAGTTTATAAAATTATATTTTAAATTTCCTAAAACTACCAGCAATACTCACTTCTGTAAAAACGTAAATGAATTTGAATTATCATAGGTTGTGGATGTTCAATTTTTTGTACGTGTTCGGCGGTACATTTTTATTAATATTGCAATATTTCCTATACGGAGAGCACGCAGTTAGAATTTCCATATAATATTTTAAATATTTTATATTCACGAGTGTATAGAAAGTTACGAGTTAAAATAATTTTTACGGATGTTATCGAATAACGTTTTAGGCCATGGCCAATTCCGTGTTTGATGGCGATGAACTTAGGAAGGTGAGTGATCAATTCGGGCAATCCAGTCTGGCTATCGTTAACCACTTGAATGAATTATTCGGGATCCCAATCAGCGCCACAGAAAACCAAAAAACCTACGAAAAGGTCCGCAGTTACGTAATCAAAAGCCAATCGGAGGTAAGAACGAATAAATTAAGTAAATTGTTTGCACTATACGTACTTAACCAAGTTTTTCACGTCTAATTACTGTACTTCTAATACCTGTAGTTGGAAACCGAAATCACAAAATTGAAGGACCTGGTCAACAAACACGTGGACCCGAAAATCAGCGAGAAAATCAACGAGCTAGAAAAGGAAATCAAAAAACAAACCACCGACGCCAAAGCTTTGTTCGAAGAAAAAGTCGGCAAACCGATCACTGACAAGTACAAGGACGATTTGAAGAAACTCACCGATTCGGTTATCAAGACCACCAAAGAAGTCGAAGTAAGTTAAAATGAGTTGTTTGCTGAAATGTTCATTACAAATTCTACAGGTACTTAAACATGTCCAATTAAATGTTTCAGACCACTGTGACTAAGGCCATCGACGGCGTAAAGACTACTAAATAGTGAACTGCATTATAATTATCATGTGGCTGCTAATCCATAATATATTAATTATTGTATTTAAATTTTTTTTTACATTATAAAATCCATTTTTATACTTTTTTGAATTAAAATATATATTTGAATTAAAAATCATATAATTAGACCAGTTATGTTTTATTATTGTACCTATATTTTTAATCGGATCGTGTATTACACGTTCGATTTTGAACTCTATACATTTAATTGTATGTGTTAAATATTTTTTATACACCCGTTTGGTGTGTTACTGTTAATCAATTCGGTGTATTTTGGTCGGTGAAGTCCGAAATTCACTTTAGTAGTCAGGTACGGATCTAGTAAAGATCTAGGGGGTCCCGAAAATTTGTTTATAACACAAATACGATTACAATGTCTTTGGTTTTAATTATAATACCATACTAGTTTAATCAAACCCTATCTATTTGTATAGTCCGGGACCAACTTTGGTTGCGACGTGGCGCACTCTTGTGGTGTCAACAATTAAAATGTTATGATTATGAATTTATAATACTTGTATCATAGTCCACAGATATGTATAATATATTATATATTATTATATAATATATATATATTATTGTATATTATATTATCATACATATCTGTGATTGAAAAATAATAATATCATATTCTATAGAATTATAAAAAATAATTGGAGAAATAATATGTCTGGGGGTGAGGGCCTGAGCCCCTGGGCCCCCCTGAATTCGTTTCTGATAGTAATGCAAACAACGGAATGTTATGTACTTAATCTATTCAAAAATTAGTGACTCATATTAGTTCAATCGTTATGTTTGAAAATCCGATTACAATGTTTTTTGACGAGTTCGTGACTTCATGAGTGTAATATACGTAAAGTTCATGCAAATTAACCGTTCGTCTACATATAAGAGGAATTAAACTACCCGAGCTGTAATTTAAACTCTTAGAGAAATCAAATTATAGTCATAGCAGTTTCAGGAGATTTTTAGTAAATGTGAAAAACCAGGAAAAACCATGGAAAACCAGGAAAAACGGCAAAATCGGTACAATATTAAACAAATATTTTTAAAGAAAATATATAATGCCTATTTAATTATTTTACCATAGTATAAAGCATAATATATATTGTTAACAATGCATCACTATCAACTGAACTGCGCTCAGAATCGTTTTTTCGTTAGCTTTGGTTTATCGTTACTTACAGATATACATTAAACTACCTGTAACAGTGGCTGTACCTGTCTTCATTATCCTAGGACGTCTTTTTTTTTATAAGAGTTTTAAGATCAAGTTTTAACGAAAATCGTATAAACTAAAATATTTTAAAACATCTATAACTGAACTTTGCTTAGAACCATACTTCGTTTGTAATAATTACAGATACAAATTAAATACTTATATAAATAGTTATTATTAATTAAAAAATTAACTATAAAATAACCAAATGTAAAACGATAACAATTAATAAACGATTATACAAAAAAAGACGGACATATTTCATACGTGGGTGGCTCATTGTTGTAGGTAAAGTGTTGAAAATGTAGAGGGGAAATTTAATGTATATCTGTACGCAACGATAAACCATTAATAAAGGAAAACGATTCTGAGCGAAAGTAAAGTAAAGTATTAACTTTTTTCGCTATTTGTTTTATAACAATATTGATTATTTAACATCACAGAACATTCAAGATACCAACAGCTCCACAATTTTATATTTACATTTTTTTTTTGACACCTTTTTCTGTTGGACATAAAACTATTACCTACTTTTAATAAGTTTTGGTAGAGCAAGAATAGTGGTGCATTATTTACACTCCGTGCGCACCTCATTTTTAATGCTATCCACTAGTCTCCTCTAACCCAAACTTAAAAATGGAATATCTCGTCAATTGGTTGACGAAAATCAAAAATAACAACACCAACATTTATTTTAATTAATA